GGAGCTCAGGTAATCCGAATGAGCGGATGGCCGGTGCGCGGTGATTTTCGACATATTCAAAACAGTCGGCCAACAGGCGGAGCCTTTCGGATACCATCACCCTCGGAAACGAAGCGTTTTCGAGCCCTAAAGAGGAACATTTATAAGTATATATAATGAGACTGCATGGCGTGTTAGCAAATTCTTAACTACGAACGAAACATATAACTACCGGCTTTATAAATTAGTTGATACTGGGATAGAACGCAGCACTTCCGATGAATTGTACAAAATGCACGCTAAAGGTGACATATTTACACTTATAATGCACCCTACAAAGCCGAAGACGCAATAAAGTCCTACACAAACTATATCGAGTGTGTATGTATGTATGCGTACGTTTTTTTTTAAAACACAGTCAAAAGCATGAAATAGACGGGACATACTTTGTTGGCATTTCATTGGCTAACTTCTTTGGCAAAAATCCGACTTCTAAGGCACGGTGAATAAATCGTTCCAAGAGGACGGATGCAACTGGAAGCTGTCGTTGGATTTCCGGCATCTCGACATAAATTCTTTTCACACCAGTTTGTAATTGATCAAGCGTTATCACAACCGAACGGCAAAGGCGATCCAGAAGACGTATAATGCGATCTGCCACTTGGTCGCCACTTCGTTCGAGAACCAGGAGAATCGCCTAAATTTGGCACATAATTGGGTTAATTCACTCACTGGTACGTGGAAAAAAAACAGAAAACGCTAGTTTTTTTATCGTGGCGCCTCAAACTTGAAGTTACTTTAAACCATTGAACTGAGTCATACAAGATGCCTTGGCGTCCTACTGAGTAGGATACACTTCCATATCTAGCTTGCTAATCGAACCTGACAAGTAAATGAGATGGTTAAGTATGACAGTTTGTGGAAATATTTGTGGCCTTAGCATGAAATTTTCACCAATGCGAGGTGTATGCTTAGGATTGAGTTACAAGGATAAAACTAGTGGCTGCATGGCAGTTTAGGTTTTAATAACTAAATAACACCAGATTCACATCTCCAAAAAGCGAGTATCGGGCAGACGAAACCACTCTACAGGAACGGATGCCTTCGTGCATACGACACACAAGAAAACGTCAGTACGGATTTACTTGCATGAACCGCGAACTAGACTTAGACTTCCAACATTATAAATTGTTATCAGACAATGACACGAAGAAGACGAATTGAAATTACTAGAAAAAGGAATGCATAGACAACGCCACTTGGCTATGGTCTTTGATGAGAAACCACATCGTTAAACAATGTACGACTGACTAGTGGTTTAGTCTAAATTCGCCTAAGCAGTGAACCATACTAACGGTCCCACTGACAAAATAATCAGAAAACAAATCGAGTGAACCGCACAAAACACTATTCATATAAAAGCATCAGAAAGCCAACTTTTAAATTATCAGATAACAGCTCATGACTGAACTAACGATGACTAAAAAGAATCAGTTCTCATGCTAGTTTAAGGATACAGCACATCAGCATTACTGATTGTTTGAAAAATAAGTTTGCGAATCAGGCGTATTCGGGTAATGGGAAAATTACCTGGTATACGAGCTCGTGGTGGTAATGGGGTGAATCCAACTCTTGAAGTGCGGCAGTCGCATCCTCGAGGTTGTTGGTACACAGGTACTCTTCGAGAAGAGAACTTATCTGCTTCATAAGAAGCGTCGTAACACGCTCACTTGGAGGAATGCCCCAAATGATATCCAACCTCGAATACGCGTGACTGAGTGTTAACAAGGTTTCCGCTTTCAAGATAGCTTGC